CCTCCAGAACCCTGCGGAGAGTATAGAGCTGGTCCACTGTTCCACGGCCGGGGCGAAAACCACACTGCTCGTCCTGAATCCGAGGTTTGACAATCCGGCGGACCCTCCTCTCCAGAACCCCCGAATAGACCTTACCAGGGAGGCTGAGGAGTGTGATTCCCCTATAGTTGGAGCACACCCTCTGGTCCCCCTTCTTAAAAAGGCTGCAGATGCGTGTCAACCAGGACAGCCCCACAGCATCCAGAGCCTTAAGGAACTCTGGGCGGATCTCATCCACCCTCGGGGCTCGGCCACCATGGAGCTTTTTGTCTACCTCAGTGACCTCCTCCCCTGAGATAGGGGAGTCCACACCCAAGTCCCCATACTCTGCTTCCACATTGGAAGGCGTGTCGGTGGGATTGAGGAGGTCTTCGAAGTACTCCTTCCACCGACCCAAAATGTCCCAGGTTGAGGTCAGCAGCACCCCATCCCCACCATAAACAGTGTTGATGTTGCACCGCTTTCCCGCCCGGAGCCGCTGGATGGTGGACCAGAATCGCCTCGAAGCCGTCCAGAAGTCGTTTTCCATGGCCTCACCAAACTCCTCCCAAACCCGAGTTTTTGCCTCAGCGACCGCCGAAGCTGCATCCCGCTTGGCCTGCCGGTACCTGTCAGCTGCCTCTGGAGTCCCACAGGCTAAAAAGGACCGATAGGACTCCTCCTTCAGCTTGCAAAACCCACACCCAGGTAGTGATCAGTTGACAGCTCCACCCCTCTCTTCAACCGAGTGTCCAAGACATGCGGCCGCAAGTCCGATGACACGACTACAAAGTCGATCATTGAACTGCGGCCTAGGGTGTCGTGGTGCCAGGTACACATATGAACACCCTTATGCCTGAACATGGTGTTCATTATGGACAATCCATGACGAGCACAGAAGTCCAACAACAGAACACCACTCGGGTTCAGATCGGGGGGGGCGTTCCTCCAAATCACGCCACTCCAGGTCTCACTGTCATTGCCCACGTGGGCATTGAAGTCCCCCAGTAGAACATGAGTCCCCAGAATGAGTGCTCTCCAACACCCCTTCCAGGGACTCTAAAAAAGGGTGGGTTCTCTGAACTGCCCCTCGGCGCATAAGCACAAACAACAGTCAGAACCCGTCCCCCCACCCGAAGGCGAAGGGAGACTACCCTCTCGTCCACTGCGGTAAACCCAATGCCCACCCCCGCTCGGCGCCTCTCCCTGCAGACAACTCCAGAGTGTAAGAGGGTCCAACCCCATTCGAGGAGACTGGTTCCAGAGCCCAAGCTGTGCGTCGAGGTGAACCTGACTATGTCTAGCCGGAACTTCACAACCTCGCGCACCAGCTCAGGCTCCTTCCCCATCAGAGATGTGACATTCCATGTCCCAAGAGCTAGCTTCTGCAGCCGAGGATCGGACCGCCAAGGTCCCCGCCTTTGGCCACTGCCCAGCTCACAACGCACCCGACCCCTATGGCCCTATGGCCGACCCCAATGGGTGGTGAGCCCATTGAAGGGGGGACCCACGTGCCTTGTTCGGGCTGTGCCCGACCAGGCCCCATGGGTATAGGCCTGGCCACCAGGCACTCGCCATCGAGCCCCACCCCCAGGCCTGGCTCCAGGGGGGGGCCCCGGTGACCCGTGTCTGGGCAAGGGAAAACGTGTTTCCATCATGTTTTTCTTCATAAGGGGTCTTTTGAGCTGCACTTCGTCTGGTTCCTCACCCAGGACCTGTTTGCCTTGGGTGACCCTACCAGGGGCATAAAGCCCCGGGCAACTTAGCTCCTGGGATCACTGGAACACGCAAACCCCTCCACCACGATAAGGTGTCAGCTCCAGGAGGGGTTTATGTCATGCATTTAAACTTTATTTTACCAGGTAAATTAACTGAAAACCAGTTCTCACTGCTTTACGTGATATTCGGGAGAAATAGCAGATTAAGCATCGGAACTGCCTGGGATACAAACGTCATGCGTGTAACTGAACTCTTCAGCCAATAAGGGCAAAGGTGTGTCATCACGGAGGCGGTTTCAGTTTGTGCAGCCGGGTGAGAGGTCGCAATGCATCTAACCGTAATGCATTGCGTCAGGATCAGAATGTGTTGCTTTAAGCCAGTGCTCTAAGCAAGTCGAGCGCACCCAATGGCCTGACTGCGGAAACAAACTGAAACGTGGACTTAATACAGAGGACTAATGACAACAACCAGAAACAGCTGATCACATGGGGATCCCACACAAGGTTAACGAGGGGGCGTGGCACACGGAAGGAGCGGACAATCGGGGCAGGACAGGGGTAATGTTGGGATAAGATCTTTATCGTTTTGGAAGCCATTAAGAAAAAATTACTCTTCTTGTTTAATCCTGTTCATTTTGTGTTTAGATGCTAAAAAATACAACAAAAAAAAACAAACATATTTAGGTGTAATTTTGGGGGGCCGGGAACCAATTAATTGGTTTTCCATTATTTCTTATGGGAAAAATTTGATCAGAACTTGAACTTTTTAGGATTCGATCCGGAGTCCTGAATGGATTAAGTTCGAGAACCGAGGTACCACTGTATCTTGATTTGGCATGATTCAGAGAACTTGAAGTACAAACATGTTGTTTGATTTGGCATGTCATACTGAATTGGCCTGGTAATAAATGTCAACTGTAGGCTTGACAGTTCTGGATAAATAGGCAGAAACGCAAAAGTTGTCACTGTAGCGCCCCCATCTGGCAGACTGGGGTGCCCTTACCAGGGTGAGGTCAGGGTCTGTAGACACATGGATCATCCAGATTTAGTTGAGATTGGTGATTGCTAGGCCTGTCAAATGCATGCTTGATTTTCATTGGCTAATTATGGCCACCATTGTATGACTAATGACTGCCATACTATGGATCTGACCTCGGGCGTGGCCTCGGGCGTGGAGAGGCCAAACAGTTCAGGAGATATTGGAAGTAGGTATTTGTAGCGCCCCCTATTGACTAAATGCGGGATGCTTTGTATGGTGTCCCCAGAATGGAGCAGGGAGGTAGGATTTTAAGTTTGGTTAAGGTAGGCTAAGGCAGGGAGAAGTTACAGCAGTCAGACAGAAACTGGCAAAATTTAGGTGGAGTTTGGGCATGGCAGATTGGCCGTATGAGACAGAAATGTCAGATTTTTTTTTATAACAATTGATCAGCTCAGAGGATTGATCGGTTTGACACCTCATTTGTCTGTTTTGGTGAGATAGTGTAGGACTTAAAAGTAAGTTTTGTAAATTATGCAAATTAGCAAAAAATCTAAGTAGGCGGAGTATTTCGATTTTAGGACTAACAGTACAGGAGATATTGGCCGAAAAGTGTATGGGGGGCGCTATAGTGCCCCCATCTGACTGACTGACTTGGGTCGGAGGGTCTGAGTAGTGGGTAGGAATTGACATCATCCTACCAAGTTTGGTTGGCCTCGGTCTTACGGTTTAGGCTGCCCATTCAGTTTTAGGGCAGAAAAATAATAAATACTCCTAAGAAAAACAATAATGGTCCATAGCACTATGTGCTTTGGACCCTTAAGAACAATTGAAACTTTATTGATCCCCATGGGGAAATTGTCTTTACGCCTCCCTCAACTTGCTCTTTGTAGAGTAAGTTGTCTGCAAAGGGCTGCCACCCATAGTGGTGCTCAGGGAGGGATATAATGGATATATTTGATATTTTATTCATTATCAGTAGCATGGCATCACAATGTATTGACTCAGCTTAAAAATTTCTAACCTGACTATAGAACAACTGAATGGAATGGGCTCATAATGCAAATCTACACAAGCAAATGCTAATTCCACTAGCATTTCAAGCTAACATAAAATGTGCATTCTCATGGATGTACTAGAAAATTACAAAATTAGCACATAGTAAATCACGATGTACACCGTGTGAACGGTAAAGCATCTCCTTAGTTTTATGTCACTGTTGCTTTACCAAGCCAACCATTCTGCAATGGAGAACCAAAGTGAACTGGAACCACACTGTAATTAGTCTCTCTTTGCAGTAGAGCTCAGGTACGGCTGGGTTCTTGTATGCCAGTGTAAAATCGTCAGTCCATTGCCTGTGGTGTAACTGGGTATGTGTGTGGCCTGGGAAGGCCAGGTATCCTCGCTCGTGGGAGTTTTACTTACACAAAAATGTTCTGAGGACAGAATGAAAAATGATAGAGAGATAACCAGCCAGATTGTTGAGGAGGTGGACCCAACCGATCAGATATGCCCTCAGAACATTTTTGTGTAAGTAAAACTCCCATGAGTGGGCATCCTCTCCAAGGTGTACCCTGGCTTTGTGCTCTGTGCTCCTTTTTAAAATAACTGCTGCACCCTCTGGGAGTCGAATATGAATTTCAAGCAGTCAGAAGAAAGGGCATTGTGCTGTCACCTGAGATTCTGAGAAGGCCCAAACATATGCCAAGGCTTTTGTAAATGTGTACATATATTGTGTGTATGTATGTATGTATGTATGTATGTATGTGTGTGTGTGTATATATATATATATATATATATATGTGTGTATATATATATGTGTGTATATATATATATATATATATATATAAATGTATAACCTCTAAATGTGCAGGTACTCCCATGCTATAAAACATCTTTGTGATGCTGCATATTGATACTAATCTGCGCTCATGAAATTGCAGAAATCTCTAATTATTAAATTCATAACTGAAAATCTTTTCTGCATGGTTGAGAATCAACTCTGAAGATATGTTCAGTATAGTAATAAAGTTTCCATGCCTCTTTCAAAATGGAATAATTTTTCTATTAGTGCAGTGGGGTTTTCATGTACAGTGGGAAACTAATTACTCTCCTGGTCAGCACACTGATTTTTTAAGTGTCTATTAACATGCAGAACATAAAATGAAACCAGTTAATATCAGATTTGATATTAATCAATAATTTCGGTGCATGCTCTGGTCTTAATGTTGCCATCCGCCATGCAATGTCCAGTTTATTTGCATTATTTTGCATAATTTCCTTTGCAGGTATTTGGCTTTCTGGGGACTGTTGCCTTCGGACTGAATACAGCCCTGGCCGTAAGGGACTGGCGGCGGCATCGTGAGCTGCAACCTGGCAGGGCACCGAGTGCTGAGTATACACGTGCCCCCACCACGTCTAGAGGTGAAGCTGAAGCGCAAGGACACACCCTTGCTCACTGATGGGGCGATGTGTTAGAGGGTGGGGCTGGTGGGTGTGTTCCTATCAATGGCAACCATGCCCTTTCCAGCTCCAAAAGTCAGAGTGAAACATGCAATGTGACACACTCTTTTTCTCTTCTCCTTCAGTCATGTCGTCCCAGCATATAGGAGGATACTGTTTTGAGAAAACTGATTAGAATAGACTGGGTCCTATTATTTCATTTTATGAAAGTTTCTGGTTCTGTACTAACCTTGGTTTGTCTCATTTATTGGTTTTAATTTCTATGACTTTAATAGCTGAAAGTAAGTACACAGTGTGTCGCTGTGCCCATGTGTGGGAAGTCATGGGTTCTAAATCCGTAGCCAGCAGCATACCTTCATAAAGGCTCTAACTCCAGCTTTTCTAGGGGTGCTAGTTACTGGCTGGCCCTCTGCTCTGACCTCAAAGCTTGCTCTCACATGTACATATACATGTGTGTCTATGTCTCTCATAGAGAGAAAGATGGGATATGCGAAAAATACTCTGCTTCCCCATCAGGATAAATAAAGAACCTCTTTTGTATTCTGTTCTGCACATGAACAGAAGTATGTATATAGAGTGACGGCTCTGCAGGCAGCACTAAAGTGATAAGGTATGTGAACTGGTCTGGATTTGGGCTTGTTTCATCTCTCAGGAATCTAACCAAAGGTGGAAAGTTCCGGTCCAGTAAGTACAAATCCAGACCAAGGTTTTGTTTCAGCCAACCAGCTGAGTACTTTCCACCTCTGAATCTAATACTCTGGGCTTTGCTTTCGTTTGTGTTTCAGCTAATGACAATCATAACCATGTGTTTTTACATGAATAACATTGCATAGAAGTAGTTGAGTGTAAAGGACCGGAGTGCAAGAGAAGGTGTTTGTAAATAAGAATTCAAATGGGATTAACTACTTGAAAAGTTTTGTACTATTTGAGTCCTTGTTAAATGAAGGCACTATACTAATTTTTATGTAATTTGTTTTCCTACACTCTCACATCTCGTGGCATTTTCCCATTGTTTTGTTCTTTGTTTTATTAAATTAATCTCCTCATTTCAAGTAATGTCAAGTCAAATTTATTGTCCCACTGGGGGAATTTCAGTTGCAGCATAAAGAATCCATCATGAATATGACATAGACGGCATACCAGACAACACAAGAACAACAATACGGTACAGTACAGTGAAAGATCACTTGATATGGACATAAACAGGGCCAGATTGGGAAACACTGTCTTACCCTGACACAAAGCAGTCATTCATGACTGGACCATGATCAAGCCCCCCCCCCCTTCAGCAAGCTGCCCATTTCCAGTCATCACCCAGGAAAAGTGTAATTGTCGAAGTGCGAATGATTGGTGCCACCTTTAACTAGTTCACACTGTAATACAAAGATTAACAGTTGATACAAATGTAACACATTGCTATGTGCACTAGATTAAGTATAGGCACCATGGTCAGTGTTGACCTGAGTTATGTGCAGGTAGATGGATGGATTTCATAAGCTGACTACTTCTGCAAAGTATTACAAGGTATCCGTGCTCTGACTGTGTCCTGCAGCTTTGCATCTTGACCCAGTTTGGTCTGTCATGCTTAGGGCCGCGGCTCAATTCGGTCTCGTGTCTTGACCCTGTTCCCTTTGCAGTCTTCTGATGCACAACAAATGACCCAGTTCTGCCACTCATCGTCTCTTGTGGCCAATCTTGTACTTGCATTTGAATTTGCATTAAATTCCATTTTTTCTACAGTCTTTCAATGCAATTGCTTATCTCACTGTTAGTTTTGTCATCTTGTATGTATTAAATTTTTCTTAAATTGCTATAATTGATATATCAAACAAACTTTTTAAAAGAAAACCACTGCTTTCCTTTTGTGTTGTCAAATGTAATAAAAGTCAAAGATCAAAGGCAATCTAAGGGTATGCAGAGGTGGAAATTTCAGGTCCAGAAAGTAAAAAATCCAGACCAAGATTTCGTTTCAACCAACCAGTATAATGAGTCAGTCACAGAGTACTCAACTAATTGGTTGAAACAAAATCTTGGTCTGGATTTTTTACTTTCTGGATGTTAAATGGCCACCTCTGAGTGTATGACATAATGTATACATAGCTCTGAATCATGGGCTCAGAATAAATATAGTTTGACAAAACCAAAGGTAATAAGACCTAATATTTTCTTCCAAACAAGCCTACATGAGTACACTGCTTAAAATATAAATTTTTATCTTCCTTGTGGGAAATATTTCATGTGTTTTTTTTGTGGTGTTGAAAGACCACTTGTGTACACCAGATGGCAGCAATTATCCATTTTGTTTACTATAAGCAGGCTTTTTAGGTTGCAGATAATGGTGTAGGCTTCGGGGATATCTAATTTTTCATACTGTAGTACTTTCCAGGCAATACACCCTAGTATACAGTATTTTGGTATTAATTTCCATAAATAAAACTCATTCAGGCTCCCAATCATATTGAACCAGAGGCTGCTGGGATTGCTGTACTGATCGGGAGTGGTGTAGTCG